AAACCATTTAATTGGACACAAAGGTGCCTAATTGCACGGGACAGCTTTGTTTGCCAGTAAGCACAGGGTCCTTGCTGTATTTGAAGGGCTCCGTTTTCCCAGACGAAGAGCGGATCTGAGTGTGGACAGAGAGCGGAAAGCCACACTGACTCCTTTCCAAGCCCTGCTGAAGGGTTCCTCTGTGCCCCGTTCCCTGTGCTCCCTGGAGTTGACCTGTGGGATTTGTCCTGATTGCTCTTCCTTTTGCTTTTTTGCCTGGTTTGTAGTGGAGTTTAACTAAATCAGGACAGGGAGAACTTCAGGTTTCCTTTACAAAACTTTTGATTGTGTTCAATTCAAGTTGATGCCTCTATCAGGGCTTATTCCTCGGTGCTCCCTCATGGGAGGCAAGGCGCTCTGATTGTAGCAGTCAGTCGGAGCCCTGACTGTTCCCAGCTTAGTTAGTCCCTCATCTGCTCAGTACTTCTGTCTGCTCTGATGTGGTTGTGAAATGACCCCTCATTTTATTGGGAAATAGCGCAACATGACTGTGATTTCTGGGTACACATGGGAGACCAAGTCTCTGTGGGAAGCTAATTCATTTTCTACATCTGGTTTTGTGCCTCACTTCACCCCCCTCAAGGTTATTTAGTGTTCTACCTCACCCTCTTTCTCCCCGTAACTTAGGTAAAATTAGTGCAGACTCTGTCCCTGGACCTGATAACATTCTTGCTTAGTTGCTTTTTAATGCTTTATCATCGGAAAAAAAAATCTTCCTGGTACCTTAAGGATAAGGAAGAGAGTCATTGTTTTTCAATAGCTGTTTGTTTTTATTTCAGATTTCTGCTTTATTGTTAAGAATTCTTAAGAATGGGCAGGTTCCTCCCTGCTGGATTAAATGTATTACGTGCATGTAACTTGATCTTGGAATCGAAAAAAGTTGTCTAGTTTTTTCTTTTTTGTTGAAAAATGAAATTAGCCTTCACTGCATTTTTTAGTGTCAGTATATGTTTAAAATTTACCGTTGTACCATCTGCTGATGCTGAGGGGAAATAATGAAACATATCTCAGAGATTGCAGGAAACTTAATAACATTTTGAATTATTGGAGAAAATTGCAGTTCTTTGTAATTTTTTTGCCAAGTGTAATTAATGTAAAATTAACTCAATTCAGTTAAGCTAACAATTACTGAGAACCCTATAAACTGTAAAGTCACTGGTCAGTAAGTAACTTAAATGGGTACGAAATGAAAAATATTTAAAAAGAAAAAAAATTGCAGTGTGGCTAAGCACATCTTTACTCATTCACAGTAATTAGTAGACAATTATAACACTCTGCAGTTCTGTTTACCCTGCTAGTCTTTCTTGTTTCTCAACTGGAATATTTTATCAAATTCAAAAAATTTTAAGAACTCAAGTCAAATGTCATATTCCTACTCATATTGCAGGGCCAATACTAGTATGTAATTTCCATCCATTGTGACCGTTAAATAGAGATTAACCAGTGATAAGGGAAGTGTGAAAGAAGCAATCTATTAGAAGATGGAACAGGTAACTTTAACAGAAAGGAATGTAAACTTATAAAGGTAAATTTGACCTTGGTATATTAAACAAAGTATAACAGCAACAATAATAATAATATCATTTATATTCTTCCAAGAAAGCCAGGCTCCTCTGGGCATTGGAGAGACGTCACAGATGAAACGTCTTTGCCAGTGTGGGGCTTACATCTATTAGGAGGAGTGTGAGATGCTAAGCCATGAACGTAACACTCCATAAATAACATACGTGAGTGTGGAAAGAAGTCGAGCAGCACAAGAGCGAGGAGGAGTCAGGGGGCTACAGTTTTCCATAGGACGATAGGGCAGGTCTTGTGGATGAGGTATCCTCCAAGGTAAGACTCTGGGAGGGACACTGGGACAGTGCAGTAAGAGCACTGCTGAAGAGGGGACAGCTGTGCAGAATGTGTGTGGAGAGAGGAAAGCCGAAGGCCAGTATGTTGGAGCATAAGTGGGAAAGTGCGAAGCCCTGATGCTGGGCAGAGAAGCCAGGAGCCCCAGCAGGTTGGAGCAAAGGACTTTTCCTGATCGCACTAACATTTTAGCAGTGTCATTCTGCCTGCCGTATAGAGAACAGCGTTTGGGGTAAGGCTGGAAGGAAGATCTGTTGGAGTTGGTAACCCCATGGAGGTGGTGGCGACTTGGTCCGAGATAGTAACGGAGAGAAGGAGAAGTGGCCGTATCCTGAGTGTATTTTGAAGCAGGACCTAAGAGGATTTCATAAGGCATTAGCTGTGAAGTGTGGGAAAGGGAGGAGCCACCTAGAGATGCACGAGAAAAGCTGACCAATGAGACCTGGATGCAGGAGGAGAGAGAGACTCTCCATCTTGGCTGCTGCTGGCTGGTCCAGGAAGATGAAGGCTGAAAACCAGTCACTGGTGTAGTGAGAGGAGGTCCCTGATGACCTTGATTCGTGGGGACTTGGAGAAGAGGGAAGCTGCAGGGAATGGCAAGAGCCTGATTGATACGGGATCCATTGATGGCGAGTGAGGAAGGGGCAGAGACAGTCAACCTCAATTCTTTTTGAGGAGTTTTGCCTTGGAGGGGAGCAGACAGACGAAGCAATGGCCAGTAGGGGAACTGGGGTCAGGAGAGGTTTGTTTTCATTTGTATTTATTTATTTAGTTTTGGTGCTGAGGATCAAACCCAGGGCTTCACATGTGCCGGGCAAGCACTGTACCATTGAGCTAAAACCCCAGGCCTGGTTTTGTTTTTGGATGGGAGAATTGGCAGCATGGATCTATCCTGATGGGAATGGTCCAAGAGAGGAGGGAAGAGAGGATGGTAGGGAAGAGGAAGGAACAAAATGTCCTTGAGTGGAAGCAGAGGGTTTGCATCTAGTGCACATGTGGAAGGATTAGCTTCAGGTGTGAGCGAGGCTGGTTCGTCTCTGCCAGTGGTGGTGAACCTGTGGCATGCGTGCCACACCAGGCTGTTTGTGTCATCTCAAGCTCTGAAAGGTTTGCCATCACTCCTTTGTGCAGTTGGAGGCAGAGCTCTTCGCCAGGTTGTTAGTTAGGTACTGGGCAGGGACAATTGCAGAGGGTGCCGGGAAACAGTCTCAGCTGACAGCAATAATGGGGGAGAAGGTGGTGAAGCTTTGAGGAGGAAGAAGTTGTGAAAATACCACCTGAGGGTGGAGGAGGGCACAACGGTGTGACTGCCTGTGGAACGAGGGAGCCCTGCGGGTCCTGGTGAGACAGGAGGCGCCGCTGGATGTCTGTAGCCACCTTAGCAGCACGCCCATGGGATGAAATGTGCAGAGTAGCCTTGGACGTCCCGAGCAAATGCAACGAGGTAAAGGAGGCCTGAGGGGGTCCCAGTTGATCTTGGGATCTGAAGTGGATAAGGATGAAGGGAAGGATATCAAGGGGCGAAGGCCGTGAAACTCCGAGGCTTGGACTTGCCTGTGGGCTCAAAGGAGTGCGGCAGTTGGGGGCGGGCAGGAAGGCGTGCCCTGCAAGCCAGAGTGATGTCCAGAGAGGGATGTGTCAGGTCGAGACCAAGGAGCAGTAGTTACTGGTAACGAAAAGGTCTGACACTCCGTGAGGAGAGGGAGCCGGGAAGTCGGGATGCCTCGTTGGTATGGGCACCGAAATTGCTAAGAATTGGACAGGAGCTGTGCATGAGAGAGTCAGGAAGAGCTGAAATCTTGGAGAAAGGGTGGGAAATAACAGAGGAGATGACTGTGACCGTGAGGATGGTCCAGTGGTGTGAGCGTGGAGGGAGGCAGGAAGGCGGTGTCGGTGTGAGGGACTGGAGGGACGGACAGTGCGAGGCTGCGGAGGACAGCGAGTTCTGAGAGAACAGCCTGACCTCATGGGGCAGGATGGTGAGCCGAGGTTCCGGAGAGGGCACTGGGTGTGAAACGTGGTCGGTAGCCCACCGGATTTTATCGGCAGTGGAAGGCTTTAGGGGTGCAGGGGAGGTGGGAGGGGAGAAAACTTGGGGATATACAGACTCGTGTGGGGGCAACAAGAAGAGAGATGGGAGGGCCCGGAGAGTCTGGGGTGTGTGTGTGTGTGTGTGTGTGTGTTTGGACCTGCACACTTGGGCATGGGTATCTGTGTGTGTGACTGACACCTGCAGGGATAAAGAGCAGCATAGGTGAACCACGGCCAACTCGCAGCCGAAGGTGGACACGAGGCTATGGGCCTTGGGCACAGGGAGAAGTAGTGTCTGCTTCACACTTACCCCACCACGAGGGCCGGACACTCAGCTGGGGCGCAGGGCTTTCCTTGTCCCGAGAGAAAGAAGCCCGAGGTCAGAGTGGGGCCCGTGCTTGCCTAGGGGGAGGAGTGGCAGACGCTGAGTATCCTGTGCCCCTGGCTCCTGCCTGGTGAATCACCTGTGCCTTACACACTTATTGTGTGCAGCCTCTGGGCCAAGCCCTTTGGGTGAGTCACTTAATTCTCCAGACAGCCTCTGCTTATCATCACCCCCTTATTACATGAGGACACTGCTCTAGGTCACACAGTGGCTCAGACACAGAATTTGAACCCAAGTCTCTGACGAATCACTCTTCGTTCACAGTAAATTCAGAGGCAGCATATTGGCATGATGAAGGCTAAGTCGCAGGGACTTTGTGAGCCTTGTAACATCTTGAGACGTTCTGAGGTTATCTTTATTACATGGCTTGGATGGGACTGCAGCTCCTCTTGGGTTGGGGACTCTTGTCCCTCACTATGGTTCCTGGTACAGTACTGTTGAGTGGGGACTTAATCCCTTTGTTAGTGAAATGTATTAAAAAACATTGTCTCTTATCAGCTAACTTGAGGCTTTGAAAAAAACCACCTCATATCATCACGTTATGTCTAAAACACTGTTTGGGCAAACATCTGGAATTTAGTCTAAATCCCAGGAAGTTTGTAAGCTTGTGATACATACCCAGGGTGACAGACTTGTGAAGTTTTGATGTGATCGAAAGGTTTCTCATTTTCAACTGTTGTTTTTTCTTTGGTAGCCGAACAGGAAGACACTCAGAAGAAAACCTTCACCTGCTGGATAAATTCACAGTTGGCAAAGGTGAGGGGAAAAGAGCAAAGTAGCTTATTATAAAGGTATTTGTTATTCTCCCTACTCCCCAGTTTGGGCCCTGGGGAAGCCACGGTGAAATGGCATGGATGGCCTGTAAAGGCTGTGGGACATCTTTTCATAAGTGTGCTGAAAGTCACTGTAATCTCGGTGTATTTGATTTGCTTTCGCAACACGAAGAAAAGGTACTGTTTGCATGTAAAGATACAGGACAGTGCAATAAAAATATTTAAAGCAGTAATGCTCTTTCATCAATAATGTGATTTGTCTATATTGATGGTTAAAGTTAAACATTGTGCTGAACTCTGTATCTAATGATTCTGAGTGCTTCAGGGATCATGAGGCACTTGAATGTCTTCATAGCATCCCTGTGAGGCAGGTAGTATATTATTCCTGCTTAAAGGCCAAGGAAACCAAGGCACAGAGAAATTGTGTGTCTTGCCAGTGGTCACACCTCTTGTAAGTGATCATGCTGGGCTACACGGCTCCAGGCAGTGTGGAGTCCGAAGTCTTGATTGTTGTCACTGTGCCTCCTGCCCTTCCGCCATGTGAGCGCCTCAGATAACCTAGACGTGCTGGATGACGCTTCCTACTGGCGCCTCACACTGCTCCCTCTCCGTTCACACCAGCCCCATGCTTGCATTTCTGACAGGAGGCAGATCAGAAGTGGGTTACTTCAGAGATGTGACCTGCTCTCTGAGTGGTCACTGTTGGGTCATTCCCAGTGTCTTTAATGTCTCTTCTAAGAGTGAAGGCAAGGTGTTGTGTTAGTAGAAATTTGCCATGGGATGAACTGAGTTCACTACCTTTCTTACTGTGGTTTGATGAGGAACTTTGTATGTTCTCTAGTGTAATATGAATTTTAAAAATTCACTGCTGAATCTTAGATTTTTTCAAAAACACAAAGCACACTTGTGGATTCTAAAAGATACTGTATTTTGGGGCCCACCTTTAATTATTTTTCTTGTGACTTTTGTAGCATACCCCTCCCTCGGTCATATCAGACTTATTCACAGACATCAGAAAGGGGCACATCCTCCTAGACCTGTTAGAAGTCCTCTCCGGACAGCAGTTGGTAAGATTTGAAAATGATACCAAGAAACTTTATGTTGAATTTTAAAAATACATTTCATATTTCTGAGTAATATATTTGCTTGAATTTCATAGCCTCGAGATAAAGGATCTAATACATTCCAGTGTAGAATCAATATAGAACATGCCCTGACATTCCTAGAAAATCGATCAGTGAGTATAAATTTCCCCTGGAAATTTGCAGCAATGATTAATGGTATGGAATGTTTTCTCTTTTTAACCAGCAATTCTTCATTTCTAGATCAAGCTAATAAATATTCATGTTGCTGATATTATAGAAGGAAACCGATCCATTATTCTTGGCCTAATTTGGACCATTATACAGCACTTTCATGTGAGTAGTCTGATGATAGGAAAATTACTTCTATCCCAGTTCACACAGAATGAAATAAGTGTAGTGCCAAAAGGACAACTTGAAGCTAGATTCAGTCCCGAGCTTCTTCCATAAATAGGACACCCTGGAAATCTTGACCAGGTAGAAAATACCTAGCAGGCTTTTTGCCAGTCTTCTTGTTGTTTTTTAACTAGAAGTTGAATGTCAAATTACAATGATGTCCTGAAGTATCCATATTGGCATCAGTCAGAACAATCCTGGCCTGGAATGTTTGCTTTTTAGTGTTGTTTACTGTGGCAAAGGAGAGAGAAGGAAGCCGCTGGGATAAAAGCTTGAGATCTAACCCACTAAGCTTCGTAAAAATCCCCCTACTTGGAAGGCCTCTGTCCAATCTGAGTAATCCTTCTGCATCTGGTTCTATCTCAAGACCAACTCATAGATTCATTTCATCCCAGATTTCTGAGCCCTTAGCACATCCTACATACTCTGCTAGGCCACATAAGATGTAGTGACAGTTGTGGCTGTGACTTCATGAAATTTGGACTGATAAATATTTGCTTTCAGGACTCGGGTTCTATTTTTTTTGGTACTGGAGATAGAACTCAGGATCTTGCACTTGCAAGGCAGGCGTGGTGCCCCTGAGCTAAATTCCCAGCCCAGGACTGGGGTTTTGACTTAGGGAAGATTTTTCTCTACTACCTGAAAAATGACATTTTTGGTATATCCATAATTACTTTAAAAATAACTAAAAATTTATGTGGGGAAACAAATGCTTGTTTTAGAAAAACTAGAATATAGCATAATTAATTTATGTAAAATTTAAAACATGTAAATCCAGACTATATGTTATTTCTACCTGAATGCATTTATAGTTATAATACAGTAATATGCATGAGAATAATGAAAACTAAATTTAGGGTTAGTATTTTCCTTTGGGAAAGGAGGGAAGTGAAATGAGAGAAACAGCCAAATATGGTAAAATACTAAAATTTGATAATTCGTAGGAATCGATTATTTTTTCCCCATACTTTTCTGGGTCTTTTGAATATAATTATATATTTAAATATAGATAAATAAAAGATAAAAATCATCCGTAACCCACCACTCACAGGTAAGTCCTGTAAACTTCATGATGATATGTCCCTTTGCTATATACATTTAGATCTCTTGCATTAGTTATGGGATTGTTTTTCTTTTTTGGTACCAGGGATTGAACTCGGGACCTTGTGCTTGCAAGGCAGGTGGCAGAACCACTGAGCTAAATCCCCAGCATTCTTTTTTTAGGGGGGAGGGGTACTGGGGCTTGAACTCAGGATCTTGTGCTTATGAGGCAGGTCCGGTGCCACTGAGCTAAATCCCCAGCAGTGGGATTGTTTTTGATGTACTTGATGCTAATTTGATTTTCTTTTTCAGACTTGGCTCTCGATGTGTTTACTATTTTTTCCTTTTAAAGTACATTTGTTCTGCATAGTTTGCAGCCAGGAATGCCTTTGTGTTGATACTGTCTTTAAAGATCCCATAGCCGAGGAGTTGGGTTGGGTTCAGTCAGCGGTTTTGGGCCCTGGGGAAGTGCTGTCAAATCACCTTAGGGACAAGTGGACATGGGATGCCATCCCCAAGGAGATGAGAAATGGTCCAGGCCAAGGGTAAGCACAGGACAGCTAGAGGACAAGTGCTGGTGTTCATGGATTTGCCTGAAGCGCGTTTCTGCAGCAATAAGTTGTCGTTGTTATAGAATATGTTTTAGCTCTTGTTTTGGCTGAAGACTGTGGCTCGGTGCTGGTAACATCATTCTGTGTGTGTTACAATCATACCTTCTGTAGATTGAGGAGCTCACCCAGGCTCTTTCTGGCAATTACAATCAACCTGTGGAAGATGAAAGTGTGGCGGATTCGTCTCCTACCTCAAGTCCTCCAGCTAAGAAATGCTCCACAGTCCGAGCACGGTGGCAGCTGTCTGCAAAGAAAGCCCTTCTCCTGTGGGCTCAGGAGTGCTGTGCCAAGTAAGTAGCTCCTCCAACTGGAAGAGACATGCAGGGTGGCACTGCCCACCACACACGAACTTCCAGGTGGACTTCTGTGGCACCACTGAAACCCCTCCTACTCCTAAGGAGAAAATTCTCCCCTCATCTCACACTGAACTTCCAAACACGGCAATCTGTGAGCTCAGCCATTCTGGTTTCAAAGGCCAGAGGTAGTGTTTCTGGGTAAACTTCCACCAGCTGCTGTGTTTAAATGGCCTTTTTGCAGTGGGGAAATAACACAGTACTTAACTATCCTTTTCTTTAGGCCAATTTCCCTGTGTATCTAGGGGGTAGATTCAGATCTAGAGTTGTATGGCCCTATGACCTCTTTAAAAGTCAAGGCTGTGTCAATGGACTGCATTATCCTCAGGATCTAACGTAGTGGAAGTTCATGATAAGTGTACCGTAAATGTGTGTTGAATAAACGAATTAACAAATGAGTAAGCAACCAATTCATGAAGTTATCTCTTGGTGCTGGCTATAATTATATTAGAGAATACAGTCCTCATTACTTACTCAATTCAGTTAAGAAACAAAGTGACCAGTGAGGCTGTATGAAAAAGTAGGGTTGATGAAGGGAAGTTCATGTTTTTGTTTTTTAAATTTTTTTTTTTTTTTTTGGTACCAGAGATTGAACTCGGGTCCTTGTGCTTGCACAGCAGACAGTGAAACCACTGAGCTAAATCCCTGGCCCCTGTTTTTAAAATTTTTAATCTTTTTGTTTGTTTATTTTGAGACAGGGTCTCACTATGTAGCCCAGACTCGCCTTGAACTCATAGAAATCCTCCTGCCTCAGACTCCTGAGTGCTGAGATTATAGTGTATGCCACAACACCTGGCTTTTTTAAAAAAAAATAAAAACAAGGGAAAATTTTTCTGCTCTTGAGAGGCATTTTGTATTTTCACCAATGGCTGGGATGGAGTTTAGGAAGGATAAAGAGTTAAGATGCAGGAGAGTGCCCCTCTAGAAGAGCTGTAAAGTGTAAAAGGCAGTCCTCAGCTCACTGTGGCATTGTCTGGGTAAACAGAGTCATGCGTATGTTACTGGGGCCTCGCAAATGGAGGACTTCTTAATAAATCCTTCCTAACAAGAGCCTAGGAGGTGGAGGTCAGTTCTGCCTGCAGCCTCATCTGCTTTTAGTGGCCACTCACCTGCTGTATTTAATTTTATTTTATGAGGTACACAAACATACGTGTCTAATGTTTTAAATATATAACGCCAACCTTTTTCTTGAATATACTAGAGAAAATTTTACTTTTGTTAATCCAAAATTGCATGTGTGAAAATCACTATTTTACTATATTCAGATTTATTTCATTTGTGTACAAATAGCCTTCAAACCTGTTCAAAGTCTCATATATTCCCCACTTCTAAAGGGGCCCGTTTCCTGCCCATCACTCTGGAGCCCAGCTTGTTCTCTCTGGGACTGACAGCCATGTCCTCATTGTGGCGCTGGCTTCAGCTCACAGTGAAGCACTGAGCATGGGGCCTGGCGCTCTGCTGTGTGGAGCACCTGCCAGTCAGTGCTGAGCTGGGTCTGGCCCTACACACGGCCAGAACTCCAGCCCTGAGCACACTCTGCAGACAGAGTGCTGGGCTTAATGTCCCAGCCACCAGGGCTCTCTAAATGGCGGCTCTGGACACCTAATTTTTTTTCTTTTTTCTTTTTTCTTTTTTCCTTTCTTCCCTCCCTCCTTTTCTCCTGACTTCCTTCTATTTGTGTTGCAGATTGAACCGGGGTCTCATGCATGCTAGGAAGCTCTTTACCTTTGAGACATCCACCCTCTTTGAGGAGTTCTCATGATTTGATTCATTACATAGTTCACAGAATTTCTTTATGTTTTTATTAGATATTAAAGGAAATTATAGTTGTTCTGAAACATTTCCCAAACACTGTGGGCAACTACACTCTTACAAGATTTCCACGGATCCCTTGTTTAATACGGCTGTATTATTGACTGAGCAATTCAGGATCTCTGTGTACACATGTTAAGCCCCTGGCAGGCAGCATTTGGCAGTGACCCTGAAGCACCGAACAAGAAGGGCAAGGCCTTGTTTCTCAAGGACACGTGCCCTGGAGGGGAAGCAGGAAGAACTGTGATAATTACAGTTGGCAAGAGGATTAGGAAGGATTTACTATGTGGTCAGGCATGTTCAAGCCGGAGAGGGGGTTGCCCTTAGCAGAGGAGGTCAGGGAGGCCTTGCCGAGGAGGGTGCCTTTGACCTCAGACCTGAAGGCCAGGCTTTGGATGGATCAAGGTCTGAAGAAAAAGTATGGAGCATGAGAGTTAATAGGAGTGTGGCTTGGGAAATCGGAAGGAGACCAGCCTGGTGCAGGTACTGTAGGAGAAGAGGAGGTCCAGAGATGGGAGAGGTAGGCAGGGCCTGATCACACAGTGCCTTGTGGGCCAGAGTGAGATGCTGTCACACACAGCACAGATTCACCATTTGCACGTGTGCAGTTCAGTGGTGTGACTTTCACCACTGCCCATGGCCAGAACTCTTTTCCTCTTGTACAGCTGAAATTCTGACCCTGTTGAAGGATACCCCCCCACCCCTCCTCTCTGCAGCCCATTCTGCATTCTGTCCGTATAAATGTGACTACTGTAGCTGCCTCATGTGAGTGAATCAGGCAGTGTTTGTCCTTTTGTATCCAGCTTGTTTCAATCAGTGTAATGTCTTGTAAGATTCACCCATGTTGTAGCACAGCTCAGCATTTCCTTCCTGTTTAAGGCTGAATACTGTTCCGTTGTATGTGAAGACCACATTTGTTCATCAGTTTATCCATAATGACGGATGTTAAGCAGAGGAAAGACAAGGTCTGCTTTCCAGGGAGCTACTAGCCATTGCTTTGGTCTGATAGATCATTTAATCTGAGCCAAGGAGGGGAAAAAAACAACTGTTTCCTGTAGTGAAGGATCTCCACTGTCTGTAGAGGTATAACATCAGCCTTGAGCCTACAGATTGCTGAATGAGGGCCTCAAATGTAAGTGTGATTATCATCTGGGGGCTCTGGAAGCCCGGAGTCAGGCTCCTCTGGATTGTGAATCTGCACACTCTGAGAAGAGCCTGAGAATTTGCATTCCTAACACCTGGTGCCGCTGGTCTGGGGCCCACACTTTGAGAACCATCTTCAGACTTAATCATCAGCACACCTGGCATTGTACTTTAATTTGACAATAAGATCAAAATAAAAATCACTTGCTAAAATGATTTCTTTATTCAGTTCGCTGTCTTATGTTTTAATTGTATTGAATATAGTGGAATATTTCAATATTTAATATATTGAAGAGACTTTTAACAGAGTGTGTCATGCCCTTTTGTGACAGGCATGAGTCCATCAGTGTGACAGATTTTAAGTCCAGCTGGAGAAATGGGCTGGCCTTTTTGGCTGTCATTCATGCCTTGCGACCAGACCTAGTTGACATGAAGAGTGTGAAGCATAGATCCAACAGGGACAATCTGAAAGAGGCCTTTGGAATTGCAGAACGAGAATTGAAAATCCCCAGACTGCTGGAGCCAGAAGGTAAAGAAACTTTTTTGTTTTTAAAACAGTTTTTCTTTTCAGATCCAGCATGCAGTCGATTTAAAAGTAGTTTCTCTATATAAGCAAATATAACAGCATTATATTTTAGTCCTGAAAGGTTGAACTCAAGGTCTTTATTGAATTTCATGAAATTAGGAATTCCTCCCAATTAGTTCAGTAATTGCAGGGCGAGGCCACAGCTGGCAGCAAACTGTGCCTTCGTCAGGAATCACTTGAGCCTTTGTCTTCGCTTCCTTCTGTTGCCTTCCGTGTAGTGTTGTTTTTCACTGTTACTTCTGTTCTGCTCTCTCCCGTATGATGTTTCCTTTGAGTCTTGAATTTGGTTGTTTATGGAGCTCCCTTCTCCCACATCCTTCTCCTCCTCCTCCTCGTCCCAGCTGAGCCTTGGGAGAGCAGAAGCCGAGCTTTCCCTGGTCTCCTTTTATGGTTGCCCAAGCCTTGCCACTGATTCTGCTGTCAGTTGTGTTGGATTGTTAACAAAAACAAGAAAATCCCAAATATGGAATGAGTTTTATTCACAGAGATCATCATCAAATTATAATCTATTTTAACTGTAAAATTAAGATTACTTTACTTTGGATTATATTATTTCATAAACAATATATGAAGCAAAGCTACTGAAAAGAATGAAAGACCCAGCTGAGGATATGGCTCAGTGGTAGACCATGTGCATAGCATGTGCGAGGGCTTAGATTTGATCCCCAACACACACACACACACACACACACACACAATGAATAAGAAATGGCTCGTAGGATTAGTAACAGTTACACTGGACCAACTGATCAAGGTATAAAGATTCTAGTCTCAGCTTTCTAACTAGGAATGTGTATTATAAATGTTCAACGACTAGTTCTCTAAAACAGTGTGAAATACACAAATCATACATGTCTATTATTATAAATTTTAGTGATATAAGGAATGTGTAGTGCACAGTTACAAATAGTAAAATGCATGGCATGTTTTATTGTAATTTTTTTTTTTTTTTGTACTGGGGTTCGAACTCGGGTCCTTGTACTTTCGAGGCAGGCGGCAGAACCAGCCAGCTAAATCCCTGGCCCGGCATGCTTTATTGTAAATTCCAAGTAGTCCTCAAATGCTTAGCTGATTTTTCTTTAAAAAATTTTTTTTTGATACCAGGGATTGAACTAAGGACCTTGCGCTTGCAAGGAGCCAGGCGGTGGCACCACTGAGCTAAATCCCTAGCCCCTGCTTTGCTGATTTTTGCCAAGCTCTTGTACCTATCTATCTGCAGGTAACGTAGTGTTGAAGCCACTGAGCAAGTGTAGTTCTGATGTGAACATCACGTGATGATTTCTCTTACAGTAATGAGTACGTGGAATAGCAAAGCAGTATGTCAGAATTTCATGTGTTCTTCAGTGACACAAATGACTCCTTTGTTGATCAAACACTAGAAGAGTATTTCTTCATTTTTTATGCTATTCACAATTTAGTAGCTACAGACAGGGCACACTTTTAGGATTTATCTATATTACTAACAATTTTCCCATTTATTTTTTACCAATCAGTGGAAGAACAATAAAATCAATAAAAGAACACTCCCAGAAATATCACATTAGGTGATATTTCTAAGCTCACAAGTAGCCTGTTGATTGTGTGTCTCTGTATATCAGCTTGGGCATTGGTCTGGGTGCAGGCAGGTAGGTGTTACTACTTCCTGTTCAGTGCAGGGGCCCCTCTTTCTTCCCTCCCGTTTACTTCTCCCTTTTCTTTCCCTCCTCCTTTGAGCTTTTCATTATGTTTTTCCTTTAGTTTTCTTTAATTACCTACTTTTGATTATTGTTTTAAAAAAATATTTATAATGCAGTTCTCTAAGTCTTTACTGTTAGTATAAAATATTCTCTTCTCCCCCGCCTTCTCGTCCTCCTCCTTCTTTCTCATCCTCCTCCTCCTCCCCGTTGTCTGCTAGATGAGCAGTCCCCCTACCTTGGCATCCCCCGTAGCTGTATTCCCTTTGTTTTAGTATATGCAAATGAGAAGTCAGCTGATGGAACAGAAAATACCACAAAAGCACATTTCCACTGTGTGAATGACTGCTGATAACTCATTATAAATGGCTTTTATAGCCTGAAAATGTGAAATACATCATTATTTACACAAACTAAACCCCACAGTCATATTTGAATTAAGGAAACTATCTTTTGACTTCATTAAAAATTTTTAAATTTTTATTGGTACACGTTTGCAGTAGATAATAATTATATTCCTTGTGGGAAGCTGGTACATAAGCATATATAACACATCTTGAATCTTTTTCATCCCCCAATCCCTTGACTCGGTTTTGTTAAACTATTTCATCACCATGCATTAAGGTTTCATATAAAATGAGTTATCTTTAAAAAGAAATATCTGTTCAAGGTGGTATCATTATTTTATGCATTTTTTGATATTTACACTTTCTCCGTTAAAGACAGAATAACTTATCTGTTAGAAATCTTTCCTATATTTAAAACCCCACCCCCAGCCTTTTTATTGATAGCTTTCATATGCTTACTGCCTTGAATTATCTCTATATATCTATATCTAGATATATCTAGATATAGATATTTTTTGGTACCGGGGATTGAACTCGGGTCCTTGCGCTTGTGCAGTTGGCGGCAAAACCACTGAGCTAAATCCCCAGCCCTGAATTATATATTTTTATATGTATTAAATTTACTTTCTACCTCAGCCACCTTATAGTGGTTTTTGGGCCCAGTGAACGCATCCGGTAACACATTCATACTGCATTGCACTTGCTGATGATTTTTCTTCTCTCTATAAACTCCTTGAGGGGCAGTAATGTCTTAGAGGGTCTAGCATCTTCTTATTGAGTGAATAAGGGGATGGAATGTAAGGACCCTAAGGGTAAGGACTCTACATCGTGTGTCTTTGTAGTCCCTACCTGTTACCCACATTTGTTAACTGTAAAAATATTTATTTCATTGAATTTAACTGAATTAACAAATAGAGAAGGTTTCCTTTTCAGTAATTACATTATTTGTTTTGACTCCATACAAAGAAACATAAAATTAAGTGGTTTGCCTGTGACATTTTGTATCCCTTTGGTGATTTTGTGATCCACTTACTTTGTCTGTATCCTTAGCGGTCTTGAACTTTAAATTTAAAATTTTTTTAAAGCTTTGTGCAATTCTGTACTTTTCATACTTATTTCACTATAGACCCCTGGAATGCAGAACAGAGCTTAGCCCTTAGAAGGTGCTCAGCAGATTTATTTCATAGATGAATGAATAAACAGTTGGCTGTCTCCAACGAGCCTTCCAATTAATGTGTACTTTGGGAAATGCTTTACAGCACAGTGCATAGGCCACTCTGGCAGGAATCAGTTCTGATAGCTGTATGTTCCTGCATTCCCAGAGGAATTTGTGCCTATGTCTCCAGAAAGGGGAATGCTGTGATTTTCTCCTAACTCCCTGACGGCTATATCCTCACCCATACCACACCCACAGGGCACTTCATTACTACGATGCTGAGGCTGTGCACATACCCATTCGAGGGCTCCACCCAGACCTTTGCAGCTCTAGATCCACTCTGTTAGCCATGGCCCAGGGTCAGAGCAGGGCTGAACCAGCAGAGATTGCATGGCTTGGAAAATACTTAGATTCATTTCGAGAGCTGGTCAGCCCAGTGGCAAAGGCCATGACGTAGTTCTCTTGAGTGCTAATTATAGGAAATCATATCTACAGCTCACTGATGGTGTAATGTGTCTTGCAGATGTAGACATTGTTAATCCTGATGAAAAGTCAATCATGACATATGTGGCACAGTTTCTGCAGTATTCCAAGAATGTGCCTCAGTTTGGAGATAAAGCTCAGGTATGTCTTTATCACTGCAAATCAAGCTCATTTTTGTTGTATATAACAATTGGTTTAATTTTGTAAAGTGAAGTGTAAATTGCACACAGAACTTTCAGTTTTGACAAATGTGTTTACCCTTGTGTACAGTGCTCCAGTCAGGAGGTGAAACATTTTTATTACCCGCAGCATTCTTTCTTGCCTCTCTTCTGTCCCTCCTCCTCATCCCAAATTAAGTTAAGCTGGATCTTAAACAATTTTAGAGATACCAAATTTTTTATCTATTGTAATTTTTATTTTTACTTTGTTGAGATATAATTTGCATACTATAAAATCCAACTATTCAAAGTACATGGTTTAATGGATTTTAGTGCCTGGACATAATTATGTGGCTATTACCATTACCTAAATTTAGCACATTTCCAGTTTGCTTGTTTTTTAGCTTCATATAAATGGAACTGTGTAATTCATATAAATGGAAGCATTGTGATCTGCTACTGGCCCCTGTTTGTTGAGATATTCTTGAATTACTGTGAAATTCCCATTTGATTCTTCAATTTTTCCTTTTTCCTTTCAGTCCGTTACATAAAATATGGATAGAAATTTCATAAAAAGTTGGCAAACTCCCGAGAAAGAACCCTTATTCTTTTTTGAAGATAAATGAGTGTAGTGACTTAGTAAGATGTTTATGATTATAATTTTAAAATTCAAACTGCTTCCTCAAACATGTTTACTTACATTTTATTTGACAAACTGGGTCTGTTTTTCCAGCTGTGACATTGGAGGCTATAAGCCAAATCATTGCTGACTCTGAAGGCCAGACTCAAGCTGAGACCCAGGCTGAGAATTCAGCTCACTTATTTCTGACTGCAGAGCTACACTTTCCTAATTAATTTTCATATTAAAAATAAAAGTTAAAAAATAAATAAAAGTAAAAATTCAACTGTCCAGGAAATTAGATGTAAAAATATTAGAAACACTCTTGCTTACTAGAGGTACAAAAGGCAAATGGTGGTTAAAGAATAGAAATAAGATGTAACTTCTGCCTTATCCTTTAGCAGTAAAATCTGCTCCACCTAAGCAAGCTTCCACCTAAGCAAGAATGTAAGCAGAAGTAATTGTTGCTAATATCTGCATGCTAGCATAACCCAAACCTTCGGGAGTGTTATTTTAGGACCTTTAAAATGTTCAAGATTTATTTTTTATATCTCCTTTCTTTCGAGAGTGAACATCTCCTATTTAGATTTATTGGAAAACACTTCTAAAATGCCTCTTGTGAAGCAGTGATTTAGAATAATGTTCTCTAAAATTGCAGAATAATGGAAATGGATAGGCAGGATAAAAGGGGATGTTGCTTACCCTCACTCCTTTTTAAAGCACATTATGATGTTCAGATGCTAGTTTCAATCTATTTTAAGATTTAAGGTGTTACAGAAACAAGCAGGATTACTCTTTAGCATAATGAATCATCGGTGTATAATGGTGACATTATTTCACAGAAATTTTAAGTTGTTAATTGTATTGTTAAAAAAATCCTCATATAGTCTAAGTGCATGTGTGTGTGCGTGCACATACATGTGTGTGTGTGTGTGTGTGTGTGAATCACAGGGCGAGGCAGAAGGTGCAATGGCCTGGCTAAACCTGCAAGGGAAACAAACTACAGCAGGTACAAAAGGACACAGAAAATTAGGCCTGCTTTAAAAAGTATCATGTAAGTGTGATGTTGAACATCTGCTTTTTGTTTATTCTTCTAGGGAAGAGTAGTAAATACATTTTTGGAAAGCTCTTTTGGAGTTGAATATTTAACATTAAATCCACCCTGGGTTTTAGGGCTCCTGAAAGATGAAGGCACATATGAGTCACAGGTAATCCTGTTAAAATGCGTATTTGGACCCACCAGTTCTGGAGCAGGGCCTGAGACTGCATTGGAACACAACTCCTGCTCTGCCAGTCCTGCTCTTTGCATTACTGAGTAGTGTGGTTCCCCAGCAAGCATTGGCAGACTGCAGCCCATGCGCCCTGATACCTATTCTTGTAAATAAAATGGTCCTAGACTACAGCCATGCTTGTTTAAGTATGGTCACTCCACAACCTGACTTGAGTAGCTAGGAGAGAGACTGCACAGCCCATAAAGCCTGGGATATTTACTGTTTCCTCACATTAAAAGCCACCCAGCCCCCGGTTTCTAGCAGAAAATGCTGTTCACCAGAAAAGGAAAAATCAGGAAGTCAGCCGTGGACATCCTAGAATTTCAGGACAGGTCTTCAACCAAGACTTCCTTTGGGGAATAATGACCACCATTATTCGCTCCACATTTGGAACATCTGCCGTGTCCCTGGCCCTTGCCAATAAGCACTTTATAGGTTAAGAATCTTGCTGAGTTTGGATTATTATTTCAGTTTTACAGATGAAGACAGTAGGGGTTAGAGGGCCTAAATGTCCATAACCACTAATAGCTTTGCATTTGTTGTTGTTGTTTTTGGAAACAGGGTCTCACTTTACTGCCCATCCTGGTCTCGAGCTCCTAGGATCAAATAAATGATCTTCCTGCCTCAGCCTTCCAAATAGCTGGGACTACAGCGTGTCCCATTGTACCCAGCTTGCCTAAAATTGAATGAGAATGACTCAGTAGTTATACTTTAAGTAACATTTATGGAACTGATGACTCCTAAACATTAATATTTCATACAAATATGAACCAGGAAAAGCACTATTAAATTTTTGAGGGCAGGAAGAAAGTGGTCTTTAGTCAAGATAAAAACAATTGGGAAGGGCTGGCTCAAGCTCAGTCATAAGCACTTTGAGAATCATTGTGCATAGCTGCTGTGATATAGTTCTCAAACCCACTCAGTCATTTTGTTGTGAACATATATTTGGGGAGAACAAACCCAGCCACGTTTTGCAGGTGGTATCCTGATCTGTCCTCTAGATCTAGGTGGTTCTGCTGCTCCATTCCTGTGGACACCCAACAGTACTGACAGAGGTCACAGACTAAAAGCAGTGTCATTATGTCGTGCCCAGAAACCAGCTCAGAGAGAGAATGCTGGATTCGGGGACTGCACCTTTCTCTTAAGTCAAAACTTAAATATTATCTTCAGCTGTAGACTTTAAAATAGCGGAGTATATTTCAAAAATGGAATAAGTGTTTCAGTCTTCAAAATAGTCTTCTAATGATAGAGTCTGCTGTCCTTTATGGAGTCATTCAGTGAAGGAAAATATCCTTCATGAATGTTCTGTCCCTAAAGGCAAATGTGCGGGAGCCGGGTGAAGGCCATGGACAGTTGGGAGATGCTGGGATGGTCTGCACCACCAGGTGACTGCCCTGCCCTGCCCTGGTGAAGAACGTTCAGAGAGCAGCTTGGTTGTGTTGCTGAAGACTTTACTGTAGACTTCTGTGAGGAAGTCTGTGAAAGACAGACGAGGTGCTTCCTCAGGAAGTGGGATAGTATTCTTACCTTTTTCCATGGTAACATTTGGATAGCAGTTAGATTTACTAATTTTTTTTCTGTTTTTTGCTGTACTGGGGATTGAACCCAGGGTCTTCACACTGAACTACATCTTCAATCCTTTTTAAACTTAATTTTAGTTTTTAATTTTGAGACAGGGTCTTACCAAGTTGCTAAATTCCCCAGACTAGGTTCAAACTTGTGATCCTCCGGCCTCAGCCTCCCAGAGTGCTGGGATTATAGGATTATAGGGGTGTGCCATGTTGCCCAGCTTTCTGTTAACATTTTGACTCTACTTTTTCATATCATGCTTTTGTGTTTGCTCTAGAGATTACACTATCCACTCTAAACTTTTAAGTCTATTTAGTTGTACAGTTTCTTTTCTCTACTTTTTTTTTCTTTTGTACCAGGGATGGAACTCGGTTCCTTGCGCTTATGAGGCAGGCAATGGAACCGCTCAGCTAAATCCCCAGCCCTGTGCAGCTTCTTTTGACATGTAAAGATCTTGCAGTCAAACTGATTTACTTATCTCCAATTCTTTATGCTTTAATTGTTTTACATAGGTTATATTGTTATATATATGACACAAACATAGTTTATACCACGGTATAATTTTTTTCACTCTAATCAGCCATATATTTTAAGGTGCCTCGGTTGTACAGTTGAGATGGCACATAAATTTCATATAAGCAGCCATGTATTTCAAAGAATTTAAGAGAAAAAATTAAGTAGTTTTTCATATTCTTCTAGATGTTTACCATTTCTAATTCTTCCTATTGATTTTTAGCTTCCATTGAGCCACTTCCCTCTGCCTAAAGACTTAATTTACTCTTATAAACAGTGACAACAACTTTGCTTAGTTTTCCTTGATCTCTTGATCTCTAAGTGTCTGTATTTTGCCTTCATTTTTAAAACCGTTATTGAGGTATAGTCCACTGATCATAACATTTTAAGTGGATAATGAAATAATTTTTGTAATGAATTTACCGAGTTCATTAAAGGGGAATTTATTCTTTTTTTGTGTGTGGAACTAGGGGTTAAACTCAGGACCTTGTGCTGCCAGACAGGCTCAGTGCCACTGAGCTAAATCTCCTGCCCTTGGAGTTCAATCATTTTAATGAACTTACAGAGAGATTTCATAGCCCAGGAAGTCAAAACCCCTTGCACTGGCCCTGCATAGGGGAAGTGTGGCTGTCAGGAGGGACAGGTTGTTTTTTTTTTTTAGGTTGTTTTAAGAATATGTTCGCTGTGCCGTTTACCAAGTGTGTCACATCACTGTCCAGTAGCTTAGCAGAACCGCCCTTGTGGAGGGCGAGCTGCAGGGAAGTGGGGCTCCAGGAATCACTGCGTGGGCATCACTGCCTTGCCTGCACCTGCTGAGCGCTGCTCGGAGCCTGACTCTCGTGGGGGCACAGGAGCCATCTGCGCTGGCTCCTTCCCAGGACAAAGGGAAGGATGAAGATGCTGCCTGTGCTGCTCATGCTTCTCCAGGCTGTAGAGACTCGGCTTAATTTAATGGAAAATAATTTGGAAAAATTACACTAAATGATGGGGAAAACCACAAAAAGAATTACTTTGCACAATTAAGTGCTGCGAATTGATAATATCTTGGAAATCTGTTCTTTAGTCAGGTAGACGGCAACTCATTTTCTTGGTGGGGCAGAATGAGACACGCTGATTTTCAAGTCATCAGGTGTGTAAGCGTTAATATCATCCAGAGAGCATTTGGTTCGATAGTTTGAGAACACAGATACCTTAAACCATTGAAAGGATCCTAGTAAGTGGTTTAAGTTGACTGTGGAGAAGAGCAGCAATATCTGATTTTAACCTGGTAAGATCTTACATAAATTTTCAGCCAAATTCAGAACTAACTGACTGAGACAGGAAGTATGGAGCCTGCTTTCTGTGTTAAGTGAGGAAGGAATGGAAGGCAAACATTGCCTTGGTTTTTCCTCTTGTGTTTGCTCCATAAATATTTTGTGTGTGACCTTGAGTTTGATGGATTTGATTTTATTCAAAATGAATGTTTCATACAGCTTTCTCCGAGTTGTGCAAAGAATTATCATTGAATTAAGAGTTTTGGTTCTAAGCTTCTCTTTAACCCAAGAACTTATCAATTTTATAGCTATTTTTATTTTTTTTTTGGCAAATACACAAATAGGTATAGTAAAATCACATGGTAAGGGCTGGGATGTAGCTCAGTGGTAGAATGCTTGTCTAGCATGGGCAAGGCCCTGAGTTCCAGTTCTGGCGTCACAGAAGGGAGGGAGGGGGAGAACCCATGCCAACTTGCTTCTGTTAAAAATTTGCAATAATGAAAACATTATTGGGTCGGGGATTTAGCTCAGTGGCACTGCACCGGCCTTGCAAGAGCAAGGTCCTGAGTTCGATCCCCAGTACCCCCCAAAAAAATTAAATCTAATTAAAAAGAAAAAGAAAACATTATTGCCAGAGTCTTGATGGCATATAGTTAATGATTTACGGTTGTATTACAATTGTAGGATTGTTCTTGTAATATGTCTTGGAGAGAATAAACTTGCAAGGCAAAAAAAAAAAAAAAGACAAAGCAAAATGTAAAACCTATAGTATTTAATGCTTCTATTGTGTGAATAGGTACATTTGACCACCTTATCGAATGTGGTTTTTTCTTCTTTTGTTTTCTGTGGTACTGGGGACTGAACCTAGGGCCTTACACATGCCAGACAAGTGCTCTGCCACTGAGCTGCTTACCCAATTCCTGGCCTCATTCTGTGTATCTGAGGTGTTGAATTTTGTTTACATTCTTGAATGAATGAATAATGAATCAAATAACCCATGTAATATATGAAGTTTGCCCACTCTTTCCTCTGGTTGAAAACAATTTAACTCAGAATAGTAATGATTCGTTTGGTAGATCCAGATCATAGAAAGAGAACATACAGGCTTCAGACTCATACTTTTCATCAGAGTAAGTTATTGGTGGAAAACAAATTTTGGTTTGTGCTTGAAGTTCAGAGGAGTGTCTTTGGGTCAGGTTAGGAGGGTCACAAAGGCAAAAGTGAGTCACGCTGCTAAAAAGTCCTATTCTTGATGGATTGGTGCTACTGTCCAGAAGAGAGGGGCCTTGGAGGTGGATTTTTATTGTGCTTAAGAAATGCAGCTGCAGTGATTGTAGGGTGCTCCCCGAGAGTCACGGCCACATCTTCCTAGGCCTGGACTTGTCTGATGCTCCCCAGAGGGGCCTCAGGGCAGAGCTTTGTCCTTCATTTCTCTAACTGGCCTTTTGACCAAAGGAGTCCTGCTAAACTTTACTCTTCCATCCATCCCTGGCACAGGGGTCTGGGCAAGGTCCTGCTCTTGTTTTGATTCGTTTGTTTTATTGTGTGCTTTTTTCTTTTATATTCACACTTTCTATTCATTCCCATTTCTTCTGAGGCAGTCATTTTTGAAGTGTTTAATATGTACCCTTTTGTTTTACATATTTTTGTAAAATACACTTTGAATTTACAAACACACATACACACACATATTTCAACTGTGTAAGTTGAGTTACATGTCATTTCTGCGGTACTGGGGATTGAATTCATGACCTCGCACTTGCGAGGCAGGGGCAGCACCACTGAGCTAAATCCCTGGCCCTGTTTCTTGCTTTTATTTTGGAGTGCAGTGGGTGTAGTTAAGGGACGTCCAGGTCACCAGTGGTGTGTATAATTTGGTCCCGGCTGTAGCACAGCGTCCCGTGGTCCCATGCATGTGCTTTATCCCTCAGTCCTTCACAGTAGGTTGTCTGTAAATGTTTCCTCACCAATGAATGAATGATTGTGTGAGTTCCGTGGTGTTCAGAAGGCAGGAAAACCTGGATCGAAGGGCAGCAACCTTGAAGGCGAAGGCAGGAGAGCACATGAGTGTTTGGAGAAAAAGGAGCTGTGGGGATTGTGTGACTCCTGTGCATGTGGGGTGTGGCAGGAAGGCCAGGAAGGGAGAGGTCTGGCTGGACTGGGAGGCTGGGGAAGGACAGATTGTAGGAGATAAAATGGAGATATCTAATGTGAACACATGTTTAAGGCCAGCAGGGAAAATAATCTCTAAATCTGTGTGGAAAGTGAAGTTACAATGTCAAAGAATACAAGGACATAAAGATTTCAAATGACGGTCCTTGATTATGACTGGCCCTGCTTACAGCAGTGCTTTAAATAGTTTGAATTTTCCCCATATAACTTATTATGAATTTATCCAAACATTCCCTCTTCTGGTGCCTTCTTTTCCTACAGCTTTTGAACAGATTACATTCTTGATCTGCAAGTAGCTAAATGATATTTAGAACTTTTATCTGTTGATAAAGATTTCCTTGACTAATGGATCCCATGTGTCAGTCTTGGCTTGCAGGGAAACTTTAAAGAATGTATTGTACTGTAAGTAAAGAAGTAAGCTAGGAAAGTTCTGCTGAAGGACCTCTTCCCTTGTTTTCAGATTAATGCACAGAAGACAAAGCTAGATGATGCCTTGCCCCTGCCCCTCCATGAAATCGAGGACTGTCTTCGGGAGGTAGAGGAGCTGGTGGAGAAAGAATTGCAGGCCTCCCAGGATTCCTCTGAACCCGTGACTCTGACCCAGGAGAAAATGACTTCATTTAAGGTTGGAAAAGCAGAAGAGACATGGAAAGCCAGTACTGGGTTAGGGTCTGTTCTTGAGGAAGATTTTGTCATAGAAAGAAGGGCAAATACAGCAGTATCTGAGGGTGATGTAGAATGCTTTCGCTGGGATCTTGAGGATCCAGAAGACATTTTCATGTTCATGACTATTGTGCTTGTTCAAGGGCAAAACAATAAGAATAGAGTCCAGTAGGTTCTAAGCAACTGACCAGAAAAAGGCTGGGGTGGGGGAGACTGGTTTAAAATGAGAGATTGGGTTCTCCCTAAAATGGTGTGAATGAATTTGATAACTGAGATCTGTAGCATTTGAGCTCCCAAAGGAATGGAAACTGCACCAGTAAACAAAAGATTTTGATAATGGTTTTTACCAAAGAAACTGCAGTCTGCTTAAAAGATTTATGTTAAAATATTTATCCATAAAATTTTAGTTAGAAAGGGGATTTATGACTTTTTTTTTTTTGGTACTGGGGATCTAACTCAGGTCCTTGCACTTGCACAGCAGGCGGCAAAACCACTGAGCTAAATCCCCGGCCCGATTTATTACTCTTTTGAAAGAAAACATAATGTGAATAGATAAGCAAATTCATTTATAGTGTTTGGCAATAAATCTGGTTTATGTCATGCTACGTTTCTTTTCAGAATCTGAAGGATAGATTTGAGTATCATTCGAATATTCTCCTGGCCTTTGAAAATAAAGATGAGGAACATTTGCCATTGGTACCACCTAACAAATTGGAGGAAATGAAAAGTCGGTTAGTAACACCATCATTTTACAACTGCTGCCACTGTTTATGTTTCAGCAATAGTATGACACCAAAGGAACCACAAAAATGTGGATACTTGGATGACTTGATAACTTTTCTCTTTTAAATCTGTTTTTTTTGGTACCGGGGATCGAACTCGGGTCCTTGAGCTTGCAAGGCAGGCGGCGAAATCTTTTAAATCTTGACAACAATAACTTCATGTTTTAGGTAGCCTTGTATTGTGCTAGCATCAGTTTTTATTTTTTCTGGTACCGGGAATTGAACTCAGGACCTTGTGCCTGCCAGGCAGGTGCCGCACCACAGAGCTACTTCCCCAGCCCTTAGCATCATTTTTTATTGGATGGTAGAATGCTATGATGTGAACTTTGTTCTTTTGAGCTTGTTTTCTCATTTGTGAATATAGCATAATTAAAATCACTCTGTCCATATCTCACAAGGGTATTGGATCAAATCTGGAAGCACTTTATATACTGTAGAATGCTATCAACATAAAGGTTATTTAATTGGTATTTGTCTACATCATCTTTTTTTCTTATTATTCGTAAGTAACTTATTAGAATAAGAGGGAGTTAGCCATAATAATGAAAACTGCTTTAATATGTACACTTTTAAATTGTAGTTCCAATTTGTAGTTTGGATTGTAGATTGTAGTTTTCCAGATTACTAAGATATCTTGTTGACCAATATTTTATTACAAGATTTCTCAGTAGGGAATCATTTAGGTATTTGTACCTTAGAAGTGGTTGTTTTCTAACTTGCCATGTTTGTTTTAAATTGCTTTAAAAGGGGGAAGGGGGGCTCTATCAAGTTAAATTCTAAAACCTGCACTATTTTCCAGACTCAACAACATTTTGGAGAAAAAATTCATTCCACTTCTCGAATTTCATTACCATAAGTGCTCAATTCTTGGTTTGCTGGATGAAGTGAAGTCAAAATTGGATGTTTGGAACATCAAATATGGGAACAAAGAATCCGTGGAATTATTGCTGGAAGACTGGCATGTAAGCTGTTGTACTTTGTCTCAGGCAACTTTTTCATGTCTGGGTGCTGGGTTGGCATTTTTCCCTGGCACAGTTTCTCACCAGTTCTTCAGATTTGGCGGTAGGTTTGGTTGGCAGCTCTTAGTAGCTTCATGTTCTCTCTTTTAGTTTTTGAACCGAAGATCGAACTCTGGACCTTGCGCTTGCAAGGCAGGTGGCAGAACCAGTGAGCTAAATCCCCTGCCCTCTTAGTAGTGTCAGTAATTCCTGGAAAAAACAATTGCAGGTAGGCAAGTAGCAGGCAGGGGGAATGGTAAGAAAAGGTAGTTGTTTACAAAATTGAGTTAGCCAGGACAATTAATACAACAGAGAAGATTTCAGTGTTTTTTCTATTAAAAATTCCTCTTTTATTTGAAATTTTTGTCTCATATATTTTTCTTTTTCTAATTTGTCGTTTCATTCAAAAAGTTTTTTGATCTTAGCCTCTTAATTTTTAATTGTGGGAAAAATAATACATTTTCAGTTTTGTCTTGATGGTTTTTTTGGTTTTAACCCTTCCAATTTATAGGAAAAAATGTTTCAAGTGAGTTAAATATAGATGTGATTTCAGGTTTAAATTAAAACTGAACCATTACAGAAATGTCATGTCTGCACCTGGGCCCGATCCTTCTTTCAGTTTCTCTGTTTTTGGAAATAAGGGGAAAAAAAGGAGAAATCCAAGGCTGTAAATTTCAATGCAAAATTGAAAAAAATTGTGAAGAGAAATTTATTTACAGTTCATAGTTTAAGCATTGTATGTTCCAGAACAAGAAGCATCATTCTAAACTACATTTGGAGTATTTTTATTTCTTTAACCTTCTTTGAATTTTCATTTTTCTACTTAATTGTAATAGTTCATTGGCCAAGTAGTAAGTGTACAGCAAATACGAGTTTTGTTTGTTTGTTTGTTTTTTGGTACTGGGGATCGAACTTGGGTCCTTGCGCTTGTGCAGCAGGCGGCGAAACCATTGAGCTAAATCCCCAGCCCCATGAATTTGAATTAGCTCAGTACTTTTCTGTAGCAGAGTTTAGTTAATGGTAGTTTCTCAGGTGTTCTGTGTGGTGGATGGCAGGAATTTTTAACATAATATGTCTAACAAAAGCCTAATATTAATAACACACCTGAAAGATCAGCTGATAAAACTATGCATATTAATAAATATATGGAGTAGGAGATTTTGAAATTGCTATAGTTAGCTTGACTTTTCCCACAAGAGCAAAACCATTGTAGACTTATATCTCCCTGCATTAAATCTTGTCCTGTGTCATAATTATACAGTGACTACTCATAGTTACATCTCCTAAATCTCAACTCTTCCTTCATAAACTACCCTTTCTCTTTTTCTACTCAAATGCATATTATTAAAGTACTAAAAAAGTTTGGCTGCCGTGTGCTTCATCAATAACTTGATATCTTAGCATATTTTAAAATGTAAAATATCATCCATTATTTTTCCTTTTCTTCACAGAAATTTATTGAAGAAAAAGAGTTCCTAACTCAACTTGACATTTCTTTTCAAAGATGTGAAGAAATGTATAAGAATTTGGGTAAAGTGATTCAGTTACTTTTTTGATGGAATAACCACCACTTAAAAATAAGATTTCATCTTTCTACTTTAAAGTTTTAGAGATTAGTTTTATATGTATATTTTCCTTGGAAAGTTCTTGCTTGCTTGCTGATGGATTGATGGATTGATTGACAACAGTAGTAAGGATTGAACCCAGGGCCTTGGCCATAAGCTGCATCTCCAGCCCTTTAAAAAAAAATTTTTTTTTTGAGACAGGGTCCTGCTGGGTTGCTAAGTTGCCTGAGTTGTGCTTGAACTTGCCACCCTGCCTTAACCTCTTAGAATGCTGTGATTACAAGGATGCACCAGTATGCCTAGCTATGCTTTCATTTTTGATATTGTCAGAAAACATGTTTATTTTGCTACTGTCCGTTAATATCCAAATGCTTTTTTAACAGTATTAAGAAAAAGCTGTTTGCTAACATTACTTTCTTGTTTTGCTAATGCTGTAGCTGGCAAATGTGAAACTATTAATGAGCAATACATGATCATGGAACAGAATATTTGCGTATGCAGAAAAAATACAGAGAATGTGAAATCAACTCTGCAAAAGGTCCTGGCATGTTGGACTACTTACTTGGCAAACCTTCGCTCACTAAAGGCTTGTTTTGAGGACACAAAGAAGGGAGAAGCTACAGAGGTATTTGCAGTTTGATGACACCATTTCACTTTGACTTTTTTACTTTGTTTTGTTTGGGAATTCTCATTTTCAGTCCAAAGATAAAAATCTAGAAAACTGCAAACACGTCTTTTGGGAAATTCTCCTAGGTCTTAGAAGAGGTTTAGCTGCTTCTTGATATAATTGCCAGAAAGACATTTTCTCTACATTATAGGTTTTACACACAGAGCTTTATTGGGGTTCAGTTTATGTATACAGTAGAGCTTTTAGAAAATATACTGCATTGCTAAGCTTTTACAAGAGGTAATAAAAGGCTTGTGGGACTGGATACCTCGCAGGCACATTTAAAATAAATTCCTAGGCTGGGGATTTAGCTCAGTGGTGCCGCCCCCTGCCTCGCAAGTGCATGGTCCCGAGTTCGATCCCTGGTAGCAAAAAAAAAAAAAAAAGAATGGGAACTATTGGATAATTGTGTGAAAAAATTGCTGAAGCATTGAGAAAGCCCAAGAACCTGTTCTGTAAGCTCATCAACCCCTCAGAAAGATAAGAGCAAATGCTTCCTGGGAGTCCAGGACCAGGAGTAAGAGCAGGTGCTGAGTACCTGCAGCCCGCAGTTAGAAAGAGTTCCGTCTATAAGGGCAGAGTCCAAGTCTCTGTGAAGACCTTCACTCTTGGTTTTGCTTCGAATTAGCCTCAGTAGAGGTTATTATAGATCATAGAAAGACAAATATACTCCTAAATACAGTGGACCCTCAAGTTACAACCGACCTGACATATGAACAACTTGGGCTAATTAGGTTAATGGAAGATTCATCTGCCTCTTGTTATCTATAGCATGTACCCAGATAAACATCCAGATCTCAGCTGGATGACTTACAACTAACTTGAGTTACAACCAGCCCTCAGGAGCAGATTGAGTTCGTAAGTCAAGTGCCCACTCTATTTATGTTGCTTATATGTTATGTAGGTTTCCTTTGAGACACTATCCCAATGGAACGCTGACCATGCTACTTTAAATGAAGTGGGACATTTCTTAATTGGAGTCAGCAATGATGAAGTGAGATCATCTATTTCTAAAGAATTGCGAAGACTGAATAAAAGATGGAGAAAGTTTATTACTAAAACTCCACTTGTAAGTTATTTCTTTGAATTTTTCCTTCTTCCCTCCCTCCCTTCCCTCCCTCTTTCCCTTCCTTGCTTCCTTTGTTTCTTTCAACAGCTTTATTGAGATATAATTCACATGCCATACAATTCACTGGTTTAGTGTGTATGGCTCAGTGTTGTTTACACATGCACAGAGTTGTACAGCTACTAGCATAACCAATCAGAACACACTCATCAGGTCTTGAAGAAGCCCTGCACCCTTTAACAGTCACTCCCTATTTCTTCCCAAACCTCCCATTCCTAGGCAATCACTGATCTACTCCCTTTCTCTATACATTGGCCTGTTCTGGATATTTCACAAAAAAGGAATCATACAATAAGTGGTCTCTTGTGACTGGCTTATTTTTGCTTGACATAATGTTTTAAAGGTTTATCCATATTAATTATATGTGCTTCATTTCTTTTTGTTAAAGAAAAATAGTCTATTGTATGGATATACCACTTTTTCATTATTCACTAGTTGATGTACATTTGGGTTCTTTCCACTTTTTTAGCTATTATGAACAGTGTGCATATTGACATTAGCATATAAGTGTCTGTGCAGACTTATGTTTTAATTTCTCTTGGTGTATATCTAAGACCACTTTTAATTCTTGGATTCTTTCTATGTACAGCTTTTTAGTTGAAATTCATTTATCACCAATAGAATAAACATAATTTCGCCTGTTAGATTTCAAACTGCTTGAGAACATATACTCACTTATCTTCATATTTACATAGTGCCTCAAAAAGCAGACTTATAATAAATATTTTTAATTTATTCTTTTCCTTCTTATTAACAATTTGAGACTTAGGTGTTTTCTGAGACATTCCCCATTTTATAATATTGTTTTTGACTGATAAACCCCCAAAATATGTTTGAATATATTATGTCCACTGACTTTTATATATTAGCCTACAAAAGAAATATGAGCGTTAAATTTCATGAAATTTATATAGGAAATGAAACTACCACTTACAAAAAAACAGGATCAGCCCATTCCTGAAGATTCTGGAAATACTCTACTATCTAAAGAAGAAAAACCAACTGTTGATTTTTCAATGGATTCGTCAGTAGAATTTCCTGAAAATCACAATCAAAATTTAAAGGTAAAATAGTTACAGTTTGTAGGAATAATTTACCTTTGCTGCTTTGCCTTTTAAAACACCATATTGTTGAAATAGCGGTAAGTGTGTGGAATATTAGATAACAGTTACAATACGAACATTTTCCAGGAAACGTATGGGTGGTTCCCTTCCTGGGGCAGCCACTTGCCGGAAAGTGCTGTGCACCTCCTCCCACGTGGAGGGCCCCCCCCAGCAGAAGTGGGTGGGGCTTCCGAGTGGTGTCAATTGAGTGGATATTTTTTTAGATGGCTTCTGATAGTTCTCAGAAATAGGCTAACTTTAGGTTAGCTCCTGAACTCTTTGTGTCTTGCTTTCTTTTTCTAAAATGGGGACAAATATTCATTGTGCTTTTTTTTTAATTTGGAAGACTTTAGATTATAGATATGAATGTGGAAAAGGAAAAAAACCCATACATACATAAGATATAATACCCATGGTTCTGAACTGTGCTTCCTACAGAACACCAACTTACCCAGTTTTCCTTAAGCAAGTAATTTCAGCTGGCTTTGGCTAGTTGCCACAATGGTGCTGCACTTCCGAACCATGAGAATGCCTGGTCAGGGCTGGGGTTTAGGTCGGGGGTACTGTGCTTGCCTAGTGTTTGGGGAGCCCAGGGTTCAATACCCAGCACTACAACAAACAAGCAAGCAAGCAAAAAAAACAACAGAAAAGAATGCCTAATACGGAAAATCTAGAAAGATCTGAATTTATGCAATATGCTTTCAAATGCAATAGTTCTGAGCATTTACAGTGTGATCTGATTAAAACAAAATGAGATTGTATTTATCACATAAAGCTGTAGCATATGAACCTATAGAATGAACCTATAGAATTATTAATGGGACAAGATGTCATTTTTCATGATTTTTTTTTTTGGGTACTGGGGATTGAACTCGGGTCCTTGTGCTTGTGCAGCAGGTGGCGAAACCACTGATCTAAATCCCTGGCCCTCATTTTTTATGATTTTGAGTCTCTTTTTGATGGCAGGTTATAGCAACTATTATTGACACCTGTATTTAGTTGTATATGAGTCTTAGAAATATGAAAAGTCTAATTTTCTAAGCTGTTATTTGTAAATGAAGATAATACTATTTAAGTGATAGAAATTAAAATTAAAATAATAGATGTGAACAAACTTTTCAGTTTTAAAGGATATATATTGTTGCAAAGTGTTACAGTCCAAACTAGGTTGTGTATCATTAATATGCAGTCATGTCCTGCATAGTGAAGTTTGGGTTGGCGAGTTACAGAACACACAGAGCTGGCTGTAGCCTGGGTGTGTAGTGAGTGATACCATCCAGGCTTGTGTCCATTTGCTTTGTGATAGTCACACAACAGAACTGCCTCACTGATGCATTTCTTGAATTGTACTTTTTTTTTTTTTTTCGTACTGGGGATTGAACTCCGGACCCTGTACTTGCGAGGTAGGCGGTGGAACCACTGAGCTAAATCTCCGTGACCCGCTGCCCCCCATGCATTTCTCAGCTTATCCCTGCTGTTAGGTGACAGAAGACTATGGATTGAATTAACGTTCTTCAGGAGAGCAGTGCAACTTTTTAAAATGGAAAATTATTTTATAATGTAAATGTTGACAATTTCTTAGTGATAATTTTGAATGTTATAGGCCATGGAAGAACATGAAAGAGACAATAAAGAATCCCAAGGACGACTGAAAGTGGCTGAAGAGGTCAAAAAACTTGCTGGACAAGTGGAAATCTGGGAGGCAGAAACCAAATCTGCCTTGGATCTCCTGAGACATGGAGATGCTGTGGATAGCTCCTTGGAAGAATCTTTGCAGGTAAGAGTGGAAAAATATTAAGCAGACATTTTCTGGTTGTAGACTCATGTTTTAATATATAAACAGAAAGGCTTTAAATAAAAAGTTTTAAAACAAGTAGTAATATGCCTACAGTTTTAATTTTCTTTATTTGGAGTTTTAAAAATGGCATGGTATCTGATCCCTGATCATCTGGGATTTAGCTTGAAATACCTAATGAGAGGACGTTCTTGGACAGATTTTCCCAGCTGTAGAATGGGTATTCTCTTGCATCAGAGGACAATGGGGACATCAGTGAGTTCAGTCTCACATCTCTCAGTGCAGTAGAAACATAAGATTACACCATTTGTGCTTTGAAACTTCTCCCATGGAACAAGCTGCTTCCCCTCCCTACTTGATATAGGGCGGGTGAGTGATGTCCTCAGAACCCCGTCTGTCTGTATTCTCACGGATAAGCAGTGAGGCTGAGTGTATTTCAGTATTACTTAGTTCTCCTAGGAGGGAAGTTATAATTGAGGTTTTTACTGAGTCCCAGCTCAGCTATAAAATCTACAGAGCATACATTAGGCTAAGATGGGAAGTTCCTGAGACACAGAATTTACATTGTTTTTCTAAATCTATATTTCTGAAAGGTATATATTTCATCATCTTGTGTTTTTATTGTTTATAAGAGAAATAACTTTTATTGCTTTGAAAATATATACTTATGAAAATAAAAAATGACATCATTTCATCTGGCAGTGTTTTGCTAATTCCATTTTTTGTTATTTGGAATTTATTTTAGTGAAAAGGGTGGAAATTCAATATTTTAAAATATTTTTAAATATTTTAAAACTTAAAATTATTTAAAGATGTTTCTAAAACAATAACAATAAAAGCCACCACCATGTATTTTGTCCCTCACTGATTAAACATCATTATACAGGGTATAACTATATTTGTTTTTCTTTTCTATTTTTTTTTGGTACGGGGGATCAAACTCAGGACCTTTAGCTCGCGAGGCAGGTGGCAGAACCACTGAGCTAAATTCCCGGCCCAGTACAACTGTATTTTAATGATGCAAGACCTAGTTTGGACTACGATAATAATACATCACAACAGCATAGATCCTGAAAATACAACCATGCCGAAATACATTTCTCTCTTTTTATTCATTAAATTTGTTGGTGCATTTTAGGTATACAGTATGATGACATTCATCATTGGGAATTTGTACCTTTACATGATATAACTTGGTTCTTAATTTTTTCAAAATATACTTCTCTCAATAAAGAATTATATTAAGTAAATATTGGATCAAAGAATTTGATCAAGTTATATTCTAAAGTAAGAAATGCAAGTTGCACAATGTGAATAATGTGATTCTATTTGTATTTGTGAAACAGTTGTGTTTCTATATTTTATGTTTTTACATCCATAGAAAAATATCTCTAATAATATAAAAAAGTAGATCTCTCTGTCTTAATCCTACATTATGCCTAGTTGTTAGTATAGTTTCTGGCCTATTGTGGATATAAAATAAATATTTTAAATGTATGTGAGTATGATTGATTAGGTGACAAGCAAAGGGAGGGGAGGGAGAGAGAGGACCTTTTCATTTATAGGCTGTACCTTTGTATTCTTGTTTGAATTTTTATTTAACATGAGCTTTTCTTTTGCTGTAAAAAAATGATAAATGGGCCCAGGGATTTAGCTCAGTGCCCTGCAAGCGCAAGGACCCGAGTTTGATCCCCAGTACCAAAAAAAAAAAAGATAAATGAATGTTTTAATTTCAGAAAATTAAAATCATTGCCATTCTACAACCCTAAGATCAGTAAGATCAACCTTTTTGTAGTTGATATTGCATAAAATAATTTGTTATACCCATGCCATCCTTGAGTTGTAATTAAAAATTTCTTTATTTTGGTAACTTGACAACTGCTAAGTAGTATCCCTTGATTATTTTATTTTGTAGTTCTTTATTTACATGGGAGATTGAATTACCTTTCATAGCATTAGGCATGAAATTCTGTGATTTACCTGTTATTTCATTTTCAGAGTTTCCTTTGGCTTCTTGGAATTTTATTGAATTACATGAGCTCTTTGAATTGTGATCCATTTTCGTTTCAGTGACAAATACTTTTACTAAGTTGTTGACTTTTAAGTAGTTTATTTTGCAGAGATTTATATATTGATGTAATCATGTCTTTCTCTACTTTTTTATTTTTGGTACCAGAGATCAAACTTGGGACCTTGTGCTTGCAAGCCAGGCGGTGGAACCACTGAGCTAAATCCCTGGCTTCTACTTTTTTTTTTTAAGGTACTGGGGCTTGGACCCAGGGCCTTCGCACTGAGCTGTCCCCAGCCCTTTTTATATTATTTATCTTGAGACAGGGTCCTGCTGAGTTGCCTGGGCTGGGCTTCAATTGCAGCCCTTTGTGGGCACTGGGATTACAGGCATACGCCTCCACAGCTGGCTCTTTCTCTACTCTTCTACCTAGAAAGCCTCTTCAGCCCAGACAGATTGATCTTTGTGGAGAATTTGTTCTTCATGTGGCTTCATCTTTTATCGATAACTTCCTGATTTATCTGGAATATGTGATATGTTGCATAAGGCATAGTTTTTTAAAAAATAAAATCATTTATTTAGTGGATGTTTTTCCTTTCTCCCTCTCTATTTTTTTCTGCATATTGGCTGTACAAGTTAAGGAGTTTCATCTTGCCAGATTTGTATATGCACATAGCATACTTTATTCATTGCCCCTCATCACCTTCTTTTGCCACTCTCTTCCCCGGTTTCACATTTTGTGAGAGTATTTCAATGAGAGTAATGTATTTCTTGTTCATTCCCCCATTTCTTATGTGTTCTCTTTCTCTGGTCTAATAATAGTCTCCCTTCTACTTTGTTGGTATCTTTTTTAGATTCCACGTATTAGGGAGAAGATGGAATATTTGTCCGAGCCTGGCATATTTTGCTCAAAATGACTTTTCAGATCCATCTATTTTTCTGCAAATGACACAATTTCATTCTCCTATGCCCCAATAATACTGTGTTGTATACAGGCGCCACATTTTCTCTATCCATCTGTCTGCTGATGGGCATCTAGGTTGATTCCATATCTTAGCTGTTGTACATTGTGCTGCAATAAACATGGGTATGCAGACATCCCCCTAGTGTGCTGGCTTTAATTTTTTCTGAGTATGATGTATAGCAAGGAATGGTATAGCTGGATCAAGTGGTAGCTCTAGTTTTAGTCTTTTCAGGAATTTCCATATTGATTTTTATAGTAGCTATAGAAATTTATATATACCAACAGTATAGAAGGGTTCCTTGTTCCTCTTGTCCTTCACAGCATTTATTGTTTCTGTATTCTTGATGATAGCCATTCTGACTGCGGAGAGTGAAATCTTAATGCAGTTTTGACTTGCATTTCCCTAATAGTTACAGGTGTTGGATATTTTTCATATATCCTTATTGACCTTATTGTACTACTTCTTTTGAGAAGTGTTCAGTTCTTTTATTTATTCATTTATTGATTGGGCTATTTGATTTTTTTCAAGTTTTTTATATATTCTAGATATTAATCCTCTGTTGCCAGAGGATTTGTAGCTGACAAAGGTTTTCTCCCATTCTGTAGTCTGTCTCTTCACTCTGTTGATTGTTTCCCTTGTGCAGAAACTTAAGTTTAGTATAGTTCCATTTATTGATTCTTGCTATTATTTCCTATACTATTGAAGCACTATTCAAGAAGTCTTTGCCTGTGCCTATGGCTTTAAGTGTTTCTCTTGTTTTCTTTTGGTAGTTTTGAAATTTCAGGTCTTATGCCTACATCTTTGATCCAACTTGAATTGATTTTTATACAGGGTGAGAGATAAGCGATCTAGTTTCAGTCTCCTGCAAATGGTTATCCAGTTTTTCAAGAATCATTTGTTAATGAAGCTGTCTTTTCTCCAACTTATATTTTTGGCTCCTTTGTCAGAATCAGATGACTAGTTGTGTGGGTTTGTTTCTGTGTCCCCAATTTTGTCCCATTGGTGTCCCGTTGTTTATTTTTGTGCCAATACCATGCTGTTTTTGTTGCAGTGGCTTTGTAGTATAATTTGAAATCAGGTATTGTGATGCCTCTAGCCTTGCTATTTTTACTTAGGATTATTTTGCTCTGGGTTGTGTTTCCATATGAATTTTAGGTTTACTTTTTTTAGTTCTGTGAAAAATGTCAGTAGTATTTTGTGATTGAATCTGTAGATCACTTTTGGTAGCATGGCCATTTTAACAGTATTACTTCTGGCAATCCATGAACATGGGTCGTCTTTCCATCTTTTAGTTTCTTTAATTTCTTTCTTTAGTGTTTTGAAATTCTCATTGTAGAGGTCTTTCACTTCCTTGATTAAATTGATCCCTGGGTCAATTTTTAAAATTTTTTACTTTTGAAGCTATTATGAATGGAATTGTTTTCCTGATTTCTTTTTCAGCTAGTCCATTATTGGTGTAGAGAAAAGCGATTGAATTTTTTTTCCCCCAGTACCAGGGATTGAACTCAGCTCTTCGTGCTTGCCAGGCAGTTGCAGCACCACTGAGCTAAATCCCCGGCTGGAGGAATTGAATTTTTTTTTTGTTACTAGGAGTCGAACCTGGGACCTTTCGCTTGTGAGGCAGGTGGTGGAACCACTGAGCTAAATCACTGGCCTGCAATTGAATTTTTAATGCTGATTTTATATTCTGCTACTTTGTTGAATTTATTATCAGCTGTAAAAAGTCTTTTGATGGAATCTTTAGGGTTTCCTAACTATAGAATCTTATCTTCTGCAAACAAGGATAATTTGACTTATTTTCCTATTTGTATCCCTTTTATTGCTTCCTCTTTCCTAATTGTTCGAGCTGAAATTTTAAGAACTAGATTGAAAAGAAGTAGGGAGAATAGGCATTCTTGCCTCATCCTGATTTTACAGGAAGTGCTTTCAATATTTCTCCATTCAGAATGATGTTTGCTGTAGATTTGTCTTACACACATTTGCTATATTGAGGAATGATCCTTAATACC